TTGTTAAGACGTTCTTTAATATCTCGTCGTTGTGCGTTGCATTTCAATTCGTCGTTTTCGTTCATAAATAAATGTATATTTAACTACACCTGAGTTATTGTTGGCGCGTGTTGTCGTATTCTCGAGGGATAAAAACGATTTGCGTAAAAGCATACCAAAGTGTATCAGTTTTATATGGCTGCAGTAGGTATGCGCATTTGACATTATTTGTTACTGTTATCGACAGACCAACAATCAACTTGGACCGGACTCAATATTTTACCCGGTGGAAAAATGGCCGGCCGAAAACTCGATTTTCCGTGATATTGTTATACCGCGTAATCGAATTTCTCTATCAGAAAAGTCGATTTAGATACCTATATACCTATACGTAGATACTTATACTTGTGACGACACTAACAGTGATTGATTTTTAAAATTCAATAACTTTCCATTATATAATATATTATTGTCATATTATACTATAGTTAGGTAAACGATAAAATAAAATATATTGTGATTTCGTGTGCATTAAATTATTGATTCAAATTTTAATGTGCGCCCGTGATTTTTTTCTCATATAAATATTTTTGACGTCGTTGTGGCACGATCATAGGCATGATATCATTCGAAATGGATGCTTACGTACAAATAACCGCTTGATAGTGTATAATATAATCTTATTTTGTATGTGTTTATGGGTATTATTATATTTTAGTATTGTCAACGTTAAAATCAAGTGAAAATCGACCTGGTGAATCACGGCTTGCATTAGAGAGTGTGTGTGTAGAGCGTGCGTGCTAATGGATATAATAATGTACACATATATATATATGTTATATTTATACGCATATACTTTGTTTAATTTTGCCGATTTAATGAGGTTAATTTTGCGTCAACAGCGGCAGCAAGACATTATTATTATATTGTGGAGCGAAAACGTCTGCAAATATCCACACCGTCTTGTGAAAAGATGGATGGAAAGTGCCATGTATATACCGTGTGTCCTTGAAAACAGGGTAAACTGTACAATTAAATTACCCATATTACTCATTACACAGTAAATATTTTTGAATTTTATTTGTGGGACATGAAACTAGACTATTGGATCATCAATCTCCCGCAGACAGAATTTTAAAATACGTAAACGGTACTGAGTAATGTGGGCAACTGAGTTATAGAGCGTACCTAGTTTCGAAGACACACGGTATATTAAACGGTTAGTTTCGGTGTTTGACGTGAGCTAGGAAAGGTGAGGGGTTCAGACGTTTTAATGTACGCGGTCGGAAGGACCCTAGGCAAAGAAAATTGGGACAATCGGGCATTAAGAACAATTATTAGGGAGGTGCAGGGATTCTATTTCTGAGAAATCTAAAACCGGATATTTAATTAAAAGCCTATTATACCCAGCGTAAACTGAGCAAACTTCGAATTATGTACTATGATATAGAAATAATACATTACGTTTTGCATTGGGAATGTACTTGTTAATATTTAGACAACCTATTCCTTTGAGGGTTGGCCGTAGATAGTAAGCTAAAAGAAAGTGTACCAACCAATTAATTTTTTATCTAAAATAATACTGTTTAATAGGTTTTATTTTTCATTTAGAGTAAGAGCTGACACGCTTTCTTTAAAAATCCTTCGTCAAATCCAATCATCTCGCATGTAACGTAAAAAAATACGGGATTCGCTCATCTCCATCCGTTGTGATCTTACGAATTGCAATACTCGAAACAATATCGAGAGGACAGTCATCGTATACAATACACGCATGCTTAAGGTGTATAGTGTATACTATACAGGATACCGTACATACATGTCTCCAGCCCCAACTGCTTAGTTTTTGGCAATTTTTTTTTGCGAATAATTAGTACATCTTTCCTATAGATTCCGGTGAGGTTCATCATAATAAGTCCCGAGGAAAAATTCTGGAAAAAAATTGGATTTTCTACGGATGGGGCTATGAGCAAATCACTCCTCCCCCACCCACTATCACACACACATAATATAATATGCATGGGCACCGTGTGATGCCCTGGCAAGATAATACTTTACCAGATGATTTTTTGTAATTTTACTCTTTATTGCTTATGTATACGTATAGTATAATAATGTATGTGTTATGTCTATAAAAGTATTTATATTATATAATGGTGGTCGCGTGTGTTATATACATAAACTGTTATGTATATAATATACTTACGCTGTAGCTCGAGTGACATAACTCGTGACGGGTTCTGAGAGAGGGTGAGACGGCGGTGAGGTTGAAGAATTATAGCGACGACATTTCGATTTGACGAGCCCATTGACTTAATATATATTATTATACGGCTAATAAAAACGACGAATAAAATATTCAAGACGGTTATAAAACGACGCTATTTCACTGCGTGTAATGACTGGTTAGATGATGATGATGAGTGTTTTTATTTCGCATGCCATCGTTTTCCCCGCCCACCGAAGTTTTTTTTTATGTACACATGTACGCCGTCGAGATAATCAGAGATTAAATAAATTCTGCTGCTGTGCGTTTTGTTTTTGGTACGAGGGAGAAGAAAATTCAATATAGTGTATAACATGAAATTGGTCTTTTTCCGTAAAACGTGTGCAACTACGTATTGTTCTCAGAGTATAAGGGCTCATCGAATGTAGATGTGCATATTGTGTAAATCATGAATGTGCCAAGACCTATAAAATATAAATATTACAACATCATGTCATTATGTGACAAAATTAATAAATGACTCACACATAAGAAACCATTTGTTAGATATATTATAATAATAAGTAATATTGCACAACATTGATACATTATTATAATATGTTATGCGTGTATTTTTCACTAAAATTTCGTTTGAAATAGCTTAACTTACTTTTTCGCCACATCTACGATTTGTGCCTATATTTTATAATGTAAATCTCACTATTTATTTGTACAACTTATATAAATATATATATATATGAACTACAGAAATATTATCATGACACCTTCAGTGGCGTATTTAGGGTTTTGCTGCCCTTATTGGTACACATTTTTTTTTAAAGTCTTCTTCACCTCCCCCCCCCCCCCTCTCCCCCAACAGTGTTTTTATAGTGGCAATTTTTCAAGCCCATAAAAACTTACAATACATATGTACAATTTGCTGGCCCCGAAAAAGTGATGTCTGGGGCAATGACCCCCCACAATACCCTTAAATATACACCACTGCGTGACAAAACAATCACTTGGACTGAAAAAAATTAATAATATCACGTCAAGCAGCAAAAAAATATCTAGACTCGATATTTACACATACCTACTTACTTATTATAGTACTATTGTATTCGATTTTACTGCAAAATGTTGATGATACACATTTTTGTTTTAATATTATTCTAATAATTATTGAAATGTATATAGTCATTGCAGAAGTAATTGGTTAATTGTATTAAATTTGACAAGCAAATATTTTTAGAGTCGCGGATCAGCATTATAACATAGATGAGCTGGAATGTGGGAAATTAACGATGACAACTGTCTCGGGACTTCGTAGTTCAGAATCTAGAGAGGACCCTTGATTATTCGAAATTACTTTGCTTTTTTTATAGCGGTCGCTGTATCAATCCCCTAGTTTTATTTTATTTCTGGACAGTAAAACCATATAATATAATATAAACATGCAATGTCCCTGACCTATAACATCTTAAATACGCGGTCTACAAAGTTTTAATACCAGATTTGTAACACATTAGTGCATTATGCATCGGACTTATACCCGATGTATATTGTTTACATTGGAAATAGTACTTTTATAATAAAATAAAAATAGATTGTTTTGCAGAAAATAATACGTTGGAGAAAGAAAATGTTTAATAAAATTGTTTTTTTAAACCCCACTTTTCTAAGAAAAAGGGCACGTTTAAATAGACAAAAATAGTGGTTCCTCATTGTTTAATAAGACATTTTGGTGTATAATATAAAATTCATGAAAATGTAAAAAACATGTTTTGCATTATCGACTTGTATATAGTCATTATACCTAAATAGAGATAGGCGTCACTATAATTAAAATAATTAATAATAAACTACAAACTGCTAATAATTTAGTTCCTTAAAAATGTATTTAAAATAAAAATCACTTAACAATCCCAAATTCTTACTAAGTATGATAAGTTACAATTGAAATTCTGTATATTTTACTTGAAAAGTATATTTTAATGTTTTTTCGTACTTATTGGATATGTTTTTAATGCGTAATTTAAATAACTGATACCTAATAGATGTTACACGTTGGAATTCATTAGGTAAAATAACTATGATAGCAATGGCTCAGCACATCACAGTTGTGATTAGTCACTTATTTGGATTTAAATTAAACCCACATAGTATAATTTCAGTTATTTTTGTACCCCTAGAAGTGTTTCAACTTATGTTTGAAGTATACTAATTACTCGAAAAATGTGTAAGTCGAGTTTATTTTTATTTATTAAGATTCAATTGTATATAATTGTATAAATATAATCATTTTAAAGTAGTACAGTATTTAAATTTCTATTACGATTCTGAACATAATACATAATTTAATAGTTATGGTAAATTTTATAAATTATTTTTTTATTTTCAACGAGTAAAAAAAATATTGATTAATACATACACAATTAAATATGTGAATATTACCTATATATTAGTCGTGACATTACATTACATTTTTAGTGCAATACCATCTACATAGCTATTACAATAGAATCAAAGAAACTTTATTTTCGTGGTATTTATTTCCCAAGACGGATGTTCGGTGAATCTGTATTCTGTATACGTGCATGTAAATTTAATATGAACTGTTTGATATTTAATTAAAAAGACATGACAAATGAAAATAGAGTTGTTACAGTTATACTACATAATAATATGATTGTTATACTCGCTATACTTATTTACTTAATACACATAATATTATGATAACCATTTCATAACATAGTACAGGCATTACGCTTATATCATAATAATTTATAACAAACATATTTCTGTTGATTTATAGATTTACAGTGGGCATTCAACAAACACAAGCAACAGCTCTAGTTTCAAATTTAAGTCATTGGCTCTGCTACGCTAACAGTGCAGTGAACCCGTTGATATATAACTTCATGAGTGGTAAGTCAAATCATTGAATGCAAAAAAATGATTTTTATCATTATAATAATATATTCATAATAGTTTTCAACAGTTCGTGTAGTTGAAAATGTATATGTATTCTTATCGTTTACTTGTCTATTGCTTTTGATTTTCCAACGGACCTATTATAATGCCTTCACTGCTTTTAAATTTTGGACCTAACCTATTTTTTTACTAAAATTATAATAAACATATGTACCTACCAGTAGCAGACCCCGAAGTGATTTGAGAGAAGTGGTTACATTTTTATATTATAAATCTACAAAAATATTCAGTTCAAAGTTGTACTGAAAAGTAGGTACAGCTGTTATACGACCAGTGGTCGAAGTGGGGGAGGGGGGTACTGTGAGATGGCATCCCTCAACTTTTTATAATTCACATTTGCCATTCCTCTACTTATTTTTATACGGCCCACCACGTTATACAATTTTAAGGTTTGCAAAAACTGGGAAACTGAAAAACTGAAAAACACAGTGAACGGTGGTACACACTGTATAATAGCCATGCAATATGGTATATTAAATAGTTGTTATATAATATGAGATACCAAAATAGTACCTTGTTCAGTTTATATACCTACTGTAGATGTAAATAAGTGAAGTACATACTAATATAAAATTTAAATTATATCTATTGAACGTGGTGAGTGGTCCTTATATGCGGTAAAATATGACTGAGAACGGAATTTGTAGAACTCAATTGAGAACGCTCAACTTATATTTTTTTTTCCAACATTATTGCCGTAGGTATTTAATAATTTATTGAACGATTGAGCATGATATTTAGTACTGGTCCAGATAAATAGCGAGAATAAACTTCGAAATGCGTATATAAAAAGTTTAATGACCCAGAAAAATGGCTTAGGTCGATTTTTGGATCACAATTTTCAACTCATGAGGAACTCGAAGATATGTTTTTGGAGATAATGAACAACGGCAGAACAAATAATAAAAAAAAGTAATTTATTACCAAAAAAGTAAAAAGACAAAATGGTTAACATTTAAAAATAAATATAATTTGTGATACAAGTCTCAGTTGATATATTAAAATATTTAGAATAAGTAGGCTAAATAGCTATCCAGAAATTGTCATAAGATTATAATTATTACAAATAATTTATAATTGACGACAATAAACTATGACTTTATATAGTATAATACATATACTAATATAGTATATACATTTATATTGCTTTCATTATGACTTATTTTAAAAATAATAATAATTATTATTATTATTCGTTACATTAAAAATGTCAAGATTAAAAATATTCAACCTGCTAAATCGCTTAATAGCCAATTTAATGATAATGTAACGTTACGTTAATGATTCTTAATCGTATCAGAATTTTGGGTAAGCATTGGATCTTTTAAAAACCTATTGTTATGGATCTTTTTTCCTTAGAACCCAAAGTTAAATAACTCAAAAACTACTAAAACAAATATTGATTCTGATATATCAAATTTTTCAGAAATATTATCTACTGAATAGTTTATAGTTGAAAAGAGGAGTTCTAATTCGAAAAACAGAAGTTTGTATTTCAAAAAATCTCAAGAATTTAAAAATATGGTTTTTAATTAAACATTTCCAAAATTAGATTTTAAATAACTGCATTATTGAAGAAAAATGGGAAATAAGTATGCTTGTATATAAATATACAGATGATTGACCATGAAATAATAAGGCCAAATGTAAACACACCCAAAAAGCTTCCCCTGTAATTGTGTTTTGACAAGGTTATACCTTTAACTCAAAAACTATTAAATGAAAATAAAATATTGACGAAGAAGTTCTTGAAAAACATAGTTTCAGAAATTTCTGGTATTAAATATTGGTATTACCACTTAAAAATTCAAAATTGATACATTTTCATCATAGAAAAAATGACATTTTAAAGATATATTAATTATTTGTAGATTTCATTGTATCTCAACATAATAATAATAATAATACCTGTCTTACGCTAAATGGAACACTCTGTACATATAATAATTAATAACATAATATAGTTCGGGGTCTCGTACTATCCTTATAGAGGCCACACTTTGTAGTCTCGTATAGGGGAGAGGAGGGTTGGTGATTGTTATTGGACAAGACGATACTGTCCACCCCAGACCGAACCCATATATAATAAAAGTTGAAAAAAAATTTTAAAAAATACCTTGTCATCCGTTTTTCCGTTTTGCAGGCAAGTACCGTAACGAATTCAAACGGCTGTTCCTCTGCTGGGGTTCAAACAGGCAGAATCGCCTGCGCCGGGGAGCACACACGTCTCGAAGTGGCACGTACATTTGCCGTTTCACGATGACCACGATGAAGACAGACAATGTGAGCTTCGGACTGTCGCCTGAAGACATTCAGTGAATATGATACTATAATGGTGACTCGACGGAAACGATACTATAATAATAATATTGTACTCGCTCGGAAGCGATCCATTTTTTTTTTTTTTTTAGTCTTCTTATTTTGGCTTTGGCGATAATATATTATTGTATGTGTGTGTGGTGTGTCTCTGTGTACGTGTGTGTGTGTGTGTGTGTGTGTGTGTGTGTGTGTGTGTGTGTGTGTGTGTGTGTGTGTGTGTACATATATATATATATATACAAATACGATTTGAGGTCGACTTCGGCCCATTTATATAATACGAATTCCCATATATATATATATATATATATATGTGTGCACGGAAAAAAAAATACGTGCTGCTGGTGAGTGCACTAGGAATTATCGATATAATATTATATTATATATACCAGTCGCACGTGTCCGGCGGTCCACTAGCATTTCCCCTCCACCTAAATGTATACCTATCCCCTTGATAAAAGTCTGATGGCTGTTTCCTAGAGAATACAACTCATATATATATATATATATATATAATATATGTATATACATTTTACCCAAGTCTTCTGCCATGATTTCAAATATATAGTTTTTAATATATTTGAGTTTTTCTATACCATATACATTATACAGGGTGATTCGCCAAGCGCACTCGCCCCAATTTTCCCACTTAATCATGAATTAGTCAAATTCTGATTTTTGGAATTTTAAAATATACTTACTTAAAGACTATGTTTTCAAATTTTTGAGATTTTTTTGTACTATTTAAGTCCTTGGAGCGATAAAAACTTTTGTTTTTCAAATGAGAAAAACCCTTCCCCTTTTTATTGTAAATTATTTAGTGAATCATTTTTTTTGTTTTTAAATCTTGATGTAATCTTTACAGGATACTGTTAAAGTTGTACAAAAAATATCAATAATTTGAAAATATTTGAGTAACTGGGTTATGAAGAATAAAGTAAGAAGAGCATGCTTGGCGAATCGCCATGTATTTTATACTTTCAATACTATATTATATTATATTGTTATGATTATACTTTAATACTACCTATATAATGCAAGTATAATATACTTAATATACTATATATGGTATTCTTTTCGCGTTTATTCATCGTGTGTTGATTATTAATTATTTTATAACTCGTATGTGTATATATTATGATAGTTAGTATATATTTTGTGTATATAATAATACATAATATTAAATCAACTGTATGTTTCATTTTTTTTTTATCATTACAGTAATAGTTTAAGATATTGATTACAATTTTCAGAACCGACACACGGTAGAAAATGTTATAGGTGCCTATATTACAATATTGCTTTTTGCGGTGCAGTTAACAATATAACTCAACAGAAATAGTATTCTATTATAATATTATATACCTGGCACGGCTGCACGGTAATTATCCTCGTGGGAAGCGAATCACAAACTTACAAGTTCAGCACGGCAGCAGTCGTAATAATACATATTTTGTATATTCGTTACAATAACGACATAGTATAACCGATCGAAAATTGGAATTGAATTGTATAATATTATATTGCTTAGATGTTGCGTATACTATATCGGTTGACAGTTAATGTATGTATAGGTACCAGAGCCGTTTCGAGGGGGTGGGGGCAAATTGGGCAAGTGCCCTAGGATTACAGAGGTCGTGAATTTTTAAAGGGCGACAAATTTTCAAATATGCATGTTTAATAGGGGCTGCCATATATTATTGCCCTAAGGCGTCAATGAAAATTAGCACAGCACCGGCAAGTACAGTGTTTCCCGAGAAATACAGAACCCAATATGATTGTTATTGACGTCGGAAAACCATTGGGAGACACTGTATAATTATTGCACTCTAATTATAAGTCGTGTCGGAATAAAACGGAGACATCTCAAATAATTGACGACAACTGTTTGGGCGTTTTATTCGTTATGTTTGGTCTTACGCTCGAGTGACGGATTGACATTATTGTAATATATTATACATTTACATTTTACGTACAGCGGCGTCCCATAAATTATTTGGTTTTGTCTATAGGAAGTATAATGTTATAGTCATTGTACCGTACCTGTTTTAATTTGCGTCGTGTAATAATCGAATTTATGATAGACGAAGACGTAATTACACTTGACTATTTATGAATATTATATTGCTGCCACGTCAACATTTCCATAACTATGAGCGATATTTTATTTGTAATATTTTAATCGTCGAATAATTTAGTCATTTATGCGGTGTGACACGGGTGTTCACTAACCGCTTTTCTATAAGTGTAATAGTGTATTTACTATGTTTTTTATATTTATCGTATCCCAACTTGTCCACCTGGTGACTATTTGTCTCCGCTGGTATTTTTTCCCAAATGTAAAATTTCTACCCCACCGACCACCACTCGAAAAAATATCAAATCCCACCACCGCAACAGCTTAAAATTGAATGTTCTGGTTTCTTTAAAATGTAATACTGTATAAAGCAGTTATAGTAATTTTTCTCCCAGAATTCGTGATTTATATAGAAAAGTAGTTTCATATATTTCCAGACAAACAAAACGCCCCGCCCCTATAACATTCTGAAAACTCCGACTTTCAATTTCAGCATGTCGATCCTTGGACTGCAGCACAATAATGCAATATAATTTAATTCACCTACACGGTGTAATAAAATATAATTCATACAATTATAAACATACAACATAATTACAATTCTCTACTGTCTGCCACCACCACTGAATGTGTGATAATATACATTTCACCGTAACAATGATAACAATTGAATGTTGACACGTTGCAAACTATTATAAGTAATATAACCAAGTACTAATACGAACATACTAAATAATTAAATAATATACATATGATTTAAAATGTGCAAGTGAAAAGGTAATATAGCAAAAACACTATCTTTTTACGTTTTACATGGTTTTACCAGACAAAATAAATATGACAGACGAGACGTTATTATTTTATTTCCGTACGGTTTTCTATACCACAGCATGATTACTGTTCATACTCATGTTCGTGTACGCTACCGACAAACTTTAATACTATTATTTAGTATTTACTACATAATAGTTCCACTTACCTTACCGACCTAGAGATAAACGGAGTGTTTTTCCAATTGATTAGTTTTTATGTATACCCCGCGATTTCCGTTTTAGATGATGTTTCATACGTATTAATTTGTTTTTCAGGCCACCCGACGAATATAAATTTTCCGAAAACCATTATACGTACAATAATAAATTTATCGGTCAATAATTTTAGACGAAATAATTTAATATTTTAACATTATCGTCGGTTTAATTACATTAACAACTGATAAAATAATTAAATGTCTGTTGACACGCAGCTACCAAAATAAATTAAAACGGATTTAATAATGGATAGGTACATTTTTTATTTTGCAACCGATTTTTGTTCCTAAAATAACCATACAACTTAAAATAATTCATAAGAAAAAAAATATCCTAAATCAATAAAATATTATCACTCGACCCTTTTCCCAGCTTCCGAGATCAGGAATACGTAGTCTATATATTGATATATTATTACGTTTGGATTTTGGCCACGCACAGTGGTATTACCTATAGTTACGTCATAAAAGAGGTGACGTCAAGTCGAACAAACGATTCTATATATATAACTATGACCTGCTTTCGGGTTCAATTTTTGTCGTTGCACACAGGTACCTACGCAACCAGAAGTCGAGCTCAACTTCAGATGTTGTATTTAATATTATACCAAAACCTGCGGCTATCATTATTACAATAAGCGATTTATGAATGAAAGTTTATTGGATTTTTACATTAATAATATTATTATTACATGACGTATAATACTTACTACGTAACAATAATCATAAAATACGATTTGTTATAACACGCATTTTCAGTTATGAAGTGAACATTATATTATTTGCATTTACCCATAAATACATGACTATCGCGTAGAATGTATAAATATTAAATGCAATATAATATTATACATAATACACCCGGAAAAATAATTGGTAGACATTTATATAATAAGTGTGTGTGTGCGTGTGTGTAGGTATTGGTAATAATTGACTTAAGAAATAATTATCTCAAACAATATTTTTTAAATGTGTAATTCAACACTATTATACATTAAAATGACACACATGCAGGGGTAGACTGGTTAGGGTAGTGGGTGGGCGATCCCCACCTGGGCCTGCAAAAGTTTGGGCTGCTTGAGTACATTTGAGCCAATAACTTTCGAACATTTTAAAAATAACTGTATTCTAGATTTCAGTAATAAAAAGAAAAACGGAAAAACACCAAACAAAGTATAAGACAAAAAACTATATTTAAATTTTATTATAAGCCCAAAATTCGGGCCAAATTTCCTTCTTCCTTAGTGAAAATTTTTACTCCCAGTCTGCCCTTGCATACAATACGCTGTTGTAATCTCTTAAGACGTCATATTTTAATAGTTATTAATTCACCCAAATATGTGTCCCACCTTAAAATAAATCCTCCACTCATCGTGTAATTGATTTTCTTACTAGTCACTAAATTGTAAGTGGCTTTGGGTGTTAATATTTAAGGACCATTATTATTATTATTAACAATAATTATTGTATATATTTGTAATTATTATAATTTTTTTTTTGATTGTGCATTAAACTTCTCAATTATTGGTGTTTTCCAAACTATAAATGGTAGTCTTCATATTTGGTACATAATATGTTCTTAAAAGTTAACAACTCATCGACAAAATATAATTAGTAAAACTAATAACCAACCCTTCCATACATGAATATTTTGTTTTACCATTATTAAAAGAGATTTTACAATCTTAGTGCTACAAGGCATAATAAGCAAATCATAAAACAAAAAAGAAATACACAACAATGATATTATTCATGAGAAGGGAGCTGGGAGGTTATTCCCAACAATTAAAACCCAGGGTGATAAAACCCAACAACATTAATATAAATATATGGAGTAATTCATTCATTGGCTACAAATTACGGATTTCAGCTGTGTATTTTTTAATAAATATGCTATACAATATTATACATGAAGACATTTTTTTTTTTGGAATTTATCAATCATGGAGAAAATCATCCTCAGGTACAAGTAATTTATAAAATATAATAAAAAATTGTGTTTGAGGTATAACTTAAG